AAAGAAGCATTACAGACTTGTGCCTGTCTTCTCTTCTCCCTTCAAGACTGTGGTTCATGGCTCAGCAGATGGACAATGGGTCCCTGCTGATGGTCAGGTTTTAGCTGCTGGATGTGATGAAGACTCTGGACATATTAGTTTCTCCAGCCCTGAGGGATGGTCAGTCTGTAGTGGCTGGGTTTAAATGTAGGAGAGGGAGTTGTTCAAGCTGCAGCCATTGCCTGAGCGCTAACTGCACACCAGGCACCAGTCCAGTGCTGGGGGATCTGTGGACACAGAAGGGCAGCAGCCTTATTATCACGGAGCTCACCCACAAGTGGGAGGCGTGAGGAGAGGAGGAGCCCCCATTTCTAGGGCTTTACCAGGGAATTTGGCGGCTCTTTGTTTTCGCTTATGCTCACAGGTACTAACAGGAAGCCTGAGACATGGGGAGACTGCAGGATAAGATGCTTGGGCTCAAAGAGTTAACAGGAGGGAGAGTTGGGATTTGGGCCTAGGTTTGGTATTCAGAGAGAGGAGATATGGCCTGGCACAGTGAAGTGGAAAGAGCATGATTTGTATATTTATATATATGTATAAAATATGCATATATCATCAAATAGTATATATTATAACCACTTATAAACCTGTCAAAGATTACAAAAAAGATTGTAAAAGTAGATACCAATGAGGTGGACACCGGCCCGCGGTGTCCAAGGTGTTATGAATGAGATGAAATAAATTCACATGGACTCCCGAATCCTGTGGAGGAAAAGGAATAGCATGACTTCTCTCTCAAGAGGAGAGCACCCTGACCCTTGCCTGGAGGAGCTTTTACTGGATACAGGTAAAGCTCATTAATCATTACCAGGCATTAAGGGTCAAACAACAGATAATGTTCAAAGAACTATAAGGGCCTATTTTGAGTCAGGGTCAGATAGCTAAAGAGCCATAAAACTATGGGGAGCAAACTCACTTCCTGCTTGGACCCTTATTTAATTGAGAGCATTCTACACAAAGCAGGTTTCACAGGATTTTATGCATTCTTTCTTAGGCCTGATCGCCCTGGGAAACTTGCCCTTTCCAGCACAGGGTGGTACCCCCACCAGCATTGTTTCAGGCTTCACTCACTCAGCCTTAGCCATGGCGGGGCGGGGGGCGGGGGGGGGGTTACAGCTCCTGAAACCAGGCAGGGTGGTTCCCAAGACACCAAAATGTTAATGGTGGTTGAGTTTGGGTTTTGGAACAGGATGTGGGGGACATTTTTCTTTGTTTCCCATGTTTAAAATGTGATTGCATTACTTTAATGATTTGAAAACAACAAATACAATTGACCAAGGAGAGGTCATTCCAGAGCCAGCACTTCCACTAACAGACTGTGTGACTGGGAGGAAGTCCCTTCTCTGTGCCCCAGATGTCTCAATACCCAGCCTGCAGTTCTCCCTGCTGTTGTGTTTAAATGCCTTTTCCCACTTTTTGCAACCTTTGCTTGCCTGTCAGCCCCTGATCTAGTGTTACCATGTCCTGCAGGACCTTCTAAAACCACTCCAACATATTGTCTCTCTCTTGCCCGTACACAGCCATCCCAATATTGGTGCTTGTTTCTTTGTTGGATCCTTGTTAGCAGTGAGACACTCAGCTAAGTTCTCAGTGTCCATTACCTGAGTCAGTCCTCAAATTCAGTGATGCCCACAGAAAATTTTAACCCCACTCTGCAGAAGAGAAACTTGTCCTTCAGAGAAGGTCTGTTCCTTGTCCAGGCGGCAGAGCCCACTCAGGGCCACCTGACCAGAAAGCCCGTGTTCTAACTGGCTTCCTGGAGGACAGTGTCCTTCTGTGCCTCCAGCAAGCTACCACGGTGCTTGGCATGGGCTGGGTCTTAATATGTGTTGAATGGACACCAGAATATGCCATTTCTGTGAGCCTCAGTGTATTGTAGCTAAGTGCAAATAAGTTCATTCACGATAACAACATTACCACGTGCTGAGTGTCTAGCCTGTCCTCAGTATGTGTATTATCCTAATTACTTCCCCCTCGAACCTGCCGAGGAAGCATGGTAGTGAATTCATTCGACAGACGAGAAAGCCAGTTTAAAAATGGAACCTTCCCTGAACCGTGCCACAACCTGAGGGAGTGCAGGAATGTGGTTACTTGTGCATTTGCAATCTTCTTCGCCAAGGCACACCACGACTCTGGGGCTTGGTACTTGAACTTGCAGAAAGACGGGGCAGAGCGAGAGGGCTCACCAACCAAGCGACTCCGGCAGGGCAAAGGATTGCAGGGTCCTCTGAGACTTTATTTTCTCAAGTCTTTGTTCCACTGAACACAAGGAGAGAGTAAAAGCTGAAGTGCTCCCGAGTTACTGCTGATTCACAATCAGAAATTAAGACAAAACAAAACCAAAAGTGTAACTGAGTGGATGTGAGTGTCTCTTGGTGCAACCTCTTGGATTGACCGTATCTTGCAAAATTTTAAAAGTTTGTGCCCTTTGACCCAAGAAGAATACTTTCAGGACTGTACGTACTTGGACATATGAAGAAATATGTAGACGCAAGAATGTTTATTCCACTATTGAATGTGGAAACCAACGAGTAGAAAACCCAGGTGCCCATGGATATGGGCCTAGTTAAATAAACCAGGGTATGGTCGATGGAGGACCAGGGGTCACTTAGAGGGGTTGGGTAGAGCGATGTATGTGCTCATAGGTTCGGTCTTCTAAATATTTCACTCTACAGGGAAGCCAGGTGCCCAGCCAGGCCTGCAGTACGCCTTAATTTTTGTGAAACGGTGAAAGTATATCTCTATGTCCATGTGTACTTGAGTGTGGGCTGCCTGTTCATCCAGTAAAGTAAGAGGGGGGTCCGGAGCAGGAGAAAGAATAGCGTTCCACATATTCACTGGGTTCTATTTGACTTTTACTCCATGTGTATTTATTATATTTATTATCAAAAACTTTCTAAAGGGGTGTTTTTGTGGCAGGTCTTAAATGTTTCATTCTACAAGCCAGAAATCTGTTCATATCAGACAGTTCAGTTCATTAAGAGGGGGTGACAAGCTTTCTCACACAGCGACCGATGCTGGCCCTTGCCTATCCTTCAATATAAAAGGAAAGTTCAGGCCCGGGTGAGCTCTGCCAAGGTGAGAAAGAGGCTGACTTTCTCTCGGAATGGTGGAGGTGAGAAAAGTGGATATTTAATGAATATTCAATGTCATTAATTATCACTAGTATTAACTATCAAAAGCCATTAGTATCAGACAGGAAGAACCAGCTTCTAGGTGGGTGTGTGGGATAAGGGAGAAGGAAGGGTTCAAAGACTTGAAAATTCATAGCTTGACCAACTGGTGAAGTGAATGGGGGTTCTCTTTACCGCAACTTGAAAGCCCAAGAAAAGACGAGGTTTGAAGGAGAACGATCAGCAGCTCAGGTTTCGATGGAGTGATTTGCAAGGGAGATATTCCCTCCTCTTATCAGTTCTTTGGCCCCCTTGGGACCTCCTCATCCTTCACTGTCACCTTTCTTGTGTCCTCACTTCAGTTTCTGTGGGACTTTGGTGCTGCATTCCATTATTAAAACTCCATCTTTGCTTCAACTTTCAATGCCCTTGCCTTTCTCTTACCACATTGTTCTTACCTGGCATTATGGGCCACCCTCAAGCTCATATGTTGAAGTTCGAACTCCCAGGACCTCAGAATGTCACGGGGTTTGGAGACAGAACCTTTAAAGAGGCAATGAAGTTCGAATGAGGTCTCTAGGGTGGGCCCTGACCAATATTATCGGTGTCGTTACAAGAAGAGGGAACTGGAGCAGAGGTGTGGACACACAAAGAAAGACCACGTGAGGACACAGGACGGAGGCAGCCATCTGTGACCAAGGAGAGAGGTCTCAGAGGACATTAACCTCGCCGACTTCCTGACCTCAGATCTCTGGCCTCCAAGACTGCAGGACGACACGTTTCTGTTATTTAAGCCTCAACAGACTCCGAGACTTTGTTATAGCACCCCTGGTCAACTCTCAGTAAGCAGGCCAACCGAACCCCATGAAAATCAACTCTGCCTACTTTTGCCTTTCTTCTAAGCAGAGGTGGCCAGACAAAACACACACCCTCACTGTCCGGCCTTTGTTAGACTTCCTGCCCTCTTCATGACCCCCAGAGGACCTCTCTGATTTCCCACCTGACCTCTCTCCCGCTTCCTGTGGACTCCCCATCACCCCACACACCCTCAGCAGGGAACCTTCTCATGGCACTGATGAGGAGCAGTCAAAAGAGAATGTCCACATGTCTCTCTCGGCAAATCCCTCACCCTGCCAATCCCTAAAGCTATGTTCTCTACCTTCGCTCTGGGAGGTGGCAGAGTGCTCCCCACCACCCTGCCCTGGTGTCTGGGTCTCCCAGTGCTAAGGACCCTTGATAGTGGGCGGGGCGGGGGCGGAGGGCAGAGGAAGTCTGGGAAAAGCCACTTGGTTGGTTATTTATGGAATCACTACTTAGAGTGCTCCCGTCATGCCAGACACTTTTCTAAGCACGACCCGTGGGTGACAGAATGACATCCCCTCCACGCACTCACAGAGCGAGTAAGAATAACCCACATACACTGAGTGCTTCCCACGTGCCAGGCACGATGGTAAATACACTGCAAATATGAACTCACTTAATCCTCATAACCACTTTGTGAAGTGGGTAACACTGTTGAGCCCACTTTACATCTGAAGCACAGAGAGGTCAAGTAACCTACCCTACCTGGCCCAGCAACCGGGTGATGGAGCTAAGTTTGAACCCAGACCTTTACCAAGACGCCACTTGAGGGAAGGGGTCAGGCTTAGATGGAGCCTTTGAAGGGGGCTGAGCAGGCATGGTCCACGCACGAAGCAGAGGTACAGCATCCCTTGGCAGGTGAAAGGCATTGCTGGTCCACAGGTACATGGGAAGGCAGCCAGCCTTCACCTCTCCCAGGAAGCAGTGCAGCCAAAGTGTAAAGTCCAAGTCTGACAAAGGGAGCTGGCGGAAAGGTGCAGGAACGTAGAGTGTTATGCAGGCATATCTGCAGGGTAAGATTAAGGTGGCTGCCTCTCCCTTTTTTTAACGTCTTATAAAGTCCTCTAACTTCTTATTGGTCCAGCCAGCCAGGGAAGTTTGAAGGACGGGGTAGGGTGGGAAAGGAAGCGCATGCAGAAAAGGCAAGTGAAAGATAAAAGGGGAGGTGCAGTTTCCCAAACAGGCAGCTCTCTCCCCTCTTCCTGCTCGACCTCCTGCCGGTCAGGTCCTGTCCCCCGACTCAGCCCGACCGACCGACCCTGCCATGGACACCGAGCCCGACCACAGACTCAGCCCCGAGCCAGAGGAGAAGCCCTGCTGCGCTCTCTCCAGGAAAGCCAAGATCAGGCTGGGTATCCTTCTGAGCGTCCTGGTTGCATTGGCGATTGTCGCGGTGGTGGTGGTGTTTGGAGTCCTGAAGTTGGGCCAGGCGCCCTCGTACAGGCAGTGGAATGGGACGGGCACCACCCCCCATTTTCTCGAGATCGTTCTGGGACGATGCTACACCTACACTCAAATCAAGCGGCCGGAGCTGCGGTGAGTTGGCGTCAGTGGCGCACGGCTGGGCACCCGCGCGGAGGTTACTGCACACGGCGGGGGCGGGGCGGCGGGGCGGCGGGCTCTGGGGAGCTGCCTGGATTGCCCGAAACAAAGCATCTTCTGTTTCGGGTCAGCTGAGAGCCCGTGGGGCCGTGCTGCTCACCAAGTCCCCGGCTTGCGATTCCTCAAGTCCCTTGCAGAAGTTGGGGGCGCGGTGGGGGACGGTGACACCAAGCGTGCAGCTGAGAGCGCAGCTCGCTGGCCCCGCCAGCTCAGCTGGGAACACTTGGCAGAAATGATTGCTCTCTGGGCAAGGTGCCCAGAGGCCGGGCAGTCCTGACCCGCAGCCCACCTCAGGGCTCCTGGCCCCCCTGCAGAGACGGAAAACCACCGCAGACGCGCCTGGGGGGGGGGTCGGATGGGGTTTGGTGGCATTTTCTACTTCGCTGGGGTTTCTGTTCACTGTCTGAGAGCACAGTGACAGATGGCACCTCCTTAAGTAGCTTCTGGAGCTTGTGGTGGCGGGATGGCATCAGAAGGGCCGGGTTTCTGAAAAGAGTTTCATTCATTAATAGAAAACAGCACCCAGATGCCTCTTGCGCGTGGGGCAATGAATGTAACTAGAGAACTCATTAACAAGACAAAACAAAGCAATAACACCTTCAAAAACTGGCTATTATTTATACGATGCTTGTGTTAATCAGCTCGATGAATCTGTCCAAACCCTCAAAACACCGCCCGCAGGGAGCGATGGGACCTTTCCCGAGGTTCCTCGTGCCCCTCCCAGCTCGCTGCTGATCTCTCTCCAAAGCGAACCACACTTTCTTGATTGCCATTCCCAGGGCACGGCTTCAGCGGTGGCACACACTGGTGAAGTGGTACACGAGGTACAACACGCTGGCAAGTGAAAAAGCTACTTCTCAGGCTGCAGCAATTTTAAGCTGATGAGTTAGAGATTGCACAGTTCTGCCACCGACACACCTGCAGTTCAGGGCTGGGGGCAGGGGGACCTCCGCTCCCCCCCAGCCCCCAGCCCCCAGCCTCCCGGGCTCCCTGAGTGCACGTGCGCTCAGGGGTTAGGTTCTAAAGCGGATCCCAGAGGTCTTCACCAGATTGTTCAAGTCCAACGATTGCCAGGGTCCCTTCAGTTTTGTTTACAAATAATTAAGTAGTTAATTGGTAGAGAAACTAGAAGTTGAGGTGTTTTTTTAGCTCATGACACTGTACCAATGAAATTAACTGATATCCAATCTGAATTGTTAACGATCGAGGCAATCTTTTTATTTTCACCTTAACTTAACATTTAGAAGTGTTTGCTGTTCAGTCGTCTTTGGTCAGGACGTCCGCATGGCAGGCAGGATGCACCATAGAAGCCACGTGGCTTTGGCGTGTTTGTGGGGATGCTTGCTCACCACCAAATACATATGTACACACATATGTTTGGCATGCACACGTGTGCATGCACATGTATTTAAAATATTAACAGGGGATACTTTCTGCTAGTATTTTTTGAGCATCCAGATATCTCGTGTGCCTGTACACACACTATAAGCGGGTTGGTGCCAGGCACTTAAAAACATCAAATCGTTTATCCTTAACAACATGTAGGGCAGAGACTATTGCTGTCCCCTTTTCCATATGAGCAGACAGAGGTAGGGAGTTGGAGGACACTGCAAAGCACTGGCTCCAAAGAATGAATACGGTCCCTGAGGTGGTAGAGTGACCACCACAAAAGCCATGGTCCCTGTCTGGAGGGGTTCTAGAAGGAAAGGGAATGCTATTTATAATCATGCTGAGTCACTGGGCTGAACCCAGAGCTTATGGTCAGCTTGTCCTTGTGGGGCTTGGACAAGGAGCTCTGGAGTCCCACGGCTTGGCTCTGCCACCCAGTCACCCTGGGTGACGAGCTTACTCTCTCTGGCTGCATGCATTCCTGACTATAAAGTGGCATGAGAGTACCTGCCACACGGAGAGATTATGAGGACCAGGAGCAATTGCCCCAATACCTACTAGATGGTGAAAATGCTAAAGATTTTTGGAAATGCAATATGACAGACATCTTTCAACAATAAATGTAGATCAAGGCCAACATCAAAAGGGTAGCCTCATAATTACATTCATTTAAATCACAATCTAATAAGGCAGTTCTCTAATGGTGGAATTTATGTTATTTTTAACTTTTTACTGTTATTCTTTTTTTTTTAACACTTGGTCTTAGAGACATTCCAAAGCTCGTGCACATAGATTTACACCATATTTTTTAATAGCTCATAGTATTCCATAGGGTAGTTGTAAACATTTCCTAGTGACAGAAAATTAATTTCCAATTTTCAGTCCCATTCACTGGTTCAACAGATATTTGTGGAGCATCTGCTCTGTTTCAGGAAGTGACGTAGCTACTAACAATGTAGGGTCAAGTGACAAAGTGCCCATTCTCATGAAGCTGCCACCCTGGTTGGGAGAGACACGTCCCCGGGAGTGTCTTCATACAGGTATTTTTGTGTACTTATGTTGCCGTAGGATAGATTTCTACTGGTGGAATTTCTGGATCGAAGGGAGGATTACGCATATTGGAAATGTTGACAAGTATTTCTAAATTCCCTCTGAAAGGACTGCGCCACTTTATGCTCAGCACCATCTGTCAGAGGACATGTTTTCCTGAAGTCTCATCATCACTGTGTAGCATCAGCGGTGCTTCCTTATGGAAAAAGTGACATCTAACTGTTCCGATTGTCAGCGAGTCTTAGTACGTTCTGTAACGTTATTGGCCATATAGAGAGAGAGTGTGTGTGAGTGAATTTCTTGTTCAGATTCTTACTAATTTCTCTCGAGCTACTTGTTTATTTCTTTCTATGGGAGTTCTTTAATATTGCTCTATTTGTGTATAGTGCTTTCTTTCTCTCTGGCTGTTATCCTTGAATCAAATTTAATTTGTTGTCTCCTGGGAGACTTGAACCTCAAGGTCATGACTGATTAATAATTTCTTCCTTCCTTCTATGTTGTTGAAACTTTGGCACACTATTGCCCTTGTAATCATACCGTCTTAACATCAGCAATCTTTTCCCTGATAAATTAGGAAATTTATACCTTGCCAGATTACTATCGCCTGCCTAGTTTTTTTTATATTGGGCTAAAACAATTTATGTCAATTATTTAACCTGGTATTTCTACTTTGACCCAGTTCTTTTAACCTTTGCAGGTCTTTGTCTAAGCTATGCATTAACATTTAAAGTGAGATATGTTATGTATTGCCAAGCAAAACAAAACCAGCATAAAAATCACACATATAATCATTGTAACTACATACAGTAAAACTGAATGTATAGATAAAAGTAAACTATGGTACTGCTCTGTTAATAACGGAATTATCATAGGCCTTATTATTCTTCAGGATCCATAATTGGTATTTTTCTTATCTATTACTAAGTAAAAAGTCACCCCAAAACTTAGTGGCTTAAAACACAAACCATGTGGTGATTTCACATGACTCGGTAGGTTGGTTGGGCTCGACTAGGTGGTTCTTCTGCTGCCTGCAACATTGACTGGGGCTGAAGTCATCTGAGTGCCCAATGAAGCTGTCATATCCAGATAGATCGATGTCACTCACAGGAATGACACCTGGGAGGGGTCAGCCGACAGGTTGGGTCTCGCTCTTTCTCCTTGAAGTCTCAAAGCCTTACACTCACACCCTCGAAATCTTGGCTCTGTGAACGCACTTTGCTCTCAGTGCCCTGGATGCGCTCTTTGCCTTGAGGCCATTTCTCATTTTGGTATCTTTTTACCTCAAACTACAGGGGATGGCAAGCAGTTTTGTTTTCCAACTCAGCAGTACCTCACTCGGAAATATTTTCTCTTGATTCTCGATTCTGCTAAAAAAAGGAGGAAAGGGGTTTTTTTAAGTTCATTTTTTTCTTTTTTTCTGGACCTCATCATACACAGCTGAGAAAAATGAGTTGGCACTTTCAACAATCTGCTTGGAAATCTCCGTAGCCAAATTTATCAATTCTTTTAGCTCATTAGTGCAGGTGACAGTGTTACTAAACTTTCCACCACTACACAGCATGGGCCATCTTTCTCCTAGCCTCCGATAACACTTTCCTCTCTGTCTGGCCAGCCCTCATAAACAGTGTCCTGGAGGCCTTGCTTGTGCCTGCTCCTCAGTCCCCAATGTTAATGCCACATTATAGTAGTCAGGGCTCTCCAGAGTGACAGAGAGAGATAAATCCTGATTGACTTTAAAAAATTGTCTCGTGACGGTGGGGGCTGACAAGTCCCAAATGTGCAGGGGAGGCAAGCAGGCTGGTAACCCAGGGGAGAGCTCCTGTTGCAGCTCAAGTCTGAAGGCCATTTGCTGGCAGAATTCCCTTTTTTTGGTGGGGGGTGGAGTCAGTCTTTTTCTTAATGTCTTCAGCTGATTGAATGAGGCCCATCTACATTATGAGGAATAATCTGCTTTACTTGAAGTCTATTGATTTAACTTTAGTCTCATCTATGAACACCTTCACAGAGACATCCAGATGTGTTGGACTCAATATCTAGGCACCATGGCCTAGCCAACTTGACACATAAAAGGAACCATCACACACGTGTTTAGGTTTTTGTTAGGTAGCACCTCAGCCCAGGCACCCCTTCCTGTTTTGGTTGTCCATTGCTGCATCATTAACTACCCCAAAGTGTAGTGACTTAAAACAATAAGCACTTATTAGTCTCATGAGTCTGTGTGTTGACTGGGATCAGCAGAGAGGCCTGCCTCACATGGCGTCAGCTGGGGCGGTGGGCATCTGAAGGGCTGACTTGGCTGAGACATTCAAAACCTCACACGTATAGGATGGAGCCATGGCACCTGGGCTCAGCTGGATGGTGGTACCTCCCTTTCTCTTTGTATCATCTCCGGGCTTCTCCTCTCCTGCGACCTTACCACGTGGTCTCTCTCTGGTGCAGCTGGATGCCTTCAGAGTTCCTAAACTCTTAAAAGTGGGTGCTGGCAGGTCTTCTTA